GCATGGAAAAGGCTCTTTTGTTTATTGCATCGGACTCGGCTCCCTGGTGGTCCTTGGGGATCACGAAGTCTGGGCGTAACAGGGTCAGAAAACTAGAGAAAAAGCACCTTCCTGTAGTATGGTGTAGAAGTGATGGCTCTGGGAAGATGAGGCATTGGAATTTTAGGAGAAAACTTCTTGGAAAAAACAAGAGAATAGTTTCAAATTATTGTTGACACATTTGTCTTAATCTGAATAGTGGAGATTTTATAAAAGACCTTAGCTTTTAGACTATTAAGATAATATAAAAAGCTGATACTGTGTTTGCAAAAAAATATAATTAAGAGATGCCAACCATTATCTTTAATTTCACCAAGAGCTGGTGACCCTGCAAAAGACTTAGTGAAGCCAAAACTGATTTGGCTTGGTGGGTAGAACATTGGCCTTCAGACTGAAGGGTCTCAGGTTCGATTCCAGTCAAGAACATGTACCTTGGTTGTGGACACATCCCCAGTAGGAAGTGTGCAGGAGTCAGCTAATCGATGTTTCTCTCTCATTGATGTTTCTATCTATCCTTCTCTCTTCCTCTCTGTAAAAAGTCAAAATATATGTTTTTTAAAAAGAAAAAAAAAAGAATGATACGGTTCTATGAACCGATATTGAATGAGCCCCGAGATATAATTTCAAACAAAGAAAATCAACCCTGGTGGTGGTTCAGTTGGTTGGGGCATTGTCCTGTACCCCCAAAGGTTATGGATTTTATTCCCCATCAGGGCACATTCTAAGTTGAGGGTTTGATTGGAGTGCCTATGGGAGGCAGCCAATCAATGTTTCTCTCTCTCCCTTACTCTTTTCCTTCTCTCCCCGCACCTTCCTTTGAAATTGGTGAAGATGTCTTCTCAGATGAGGATTAAAAAAAACCTAAATAATCAAGGTGCAGAACCTCTTGAAAAAGTACCCTCGGGAAGAAATGCTTTCACAAGCCCTTTACAATAAACCACTGGAAACCACGTATGCACAGCCCAGAGCCAGAGGCCAGACGGGGAACCAGTGTCCACCCCCTGAGCCTGGGGCGAGGCCACTCCGAGGGGGCGGGCAGCTCCCGGGGCAGCGCCCAGCTCCGCGCTCCCGTCCCTGCGGCCGAACGTGGCGCCTCCCCGGCGAGGCCGGAGCCTGGAGGTGGGTCCGGGGAGCCCGGAGGTGGGTCTGGGGACGGGGCCGGGGTCTGATGTCACCGCGGGAGCCGGCACCTCTCCGGCCGGAGCTGAGGTGCGGGAGCCGGGGCGCAGACCGCTCCGGGAGGAGGCAGGGCGGGCCCGCGGCCGGAGGGGCGGGGCGGGGCGGGGTGTCCGCGGAGCAGCCGTGCGCCCCGGAGACGGAGGCGTGGGGTGCGCGCGTCCGGGGGGCCCTGCGGGCCGAGGTGCTCTCCGCCGAAGGCTGGGGGGCGGGAGCCAGCTGGTGGCCAAAGCCCCCTCCGCTCCGCCCTCGGCCGGGCCGGGAAGGTGGGTTTCTCCGGTCCGCGGCCGCGCTGCCCAACGGCTGGCGCTCGGAGCGCTCCCGCCCGGACGGCGGGTCCAGCGGGACGGGCCGCGCCATGAGCCGGCCCGCGGCCCCGGGCGGCCCCCGCGCTCCGACCCCGGGGTCCCCGCGCCGCCGCCGCGCCACGTGACGCGGACGCCCCCTGCGGCCGCCGGCCGGGGCCTCTCCTCGCCTCTCCCGCGTGTCCGGCTCCGGAGCCGGGAGACTCAGGTATGTGATCCGGCCACGCCGCCGCCTCCAGGGGTCAGCAGCATCCGCGGTTCCTGCTCCGCACGCAGCGGGTCTGGGGGGAGGCTCCGGGGGGGGGGGCGGGGCGCTGGGGGCCTGGACTTTGCAGAATGACTGCTCGGCCAGACCTACTGTGGGGGGCTTGGGTGCAGGAAAGTGCCTGGGCCCCCACACTCAGCCTGGCGGGGAGCCTGCCCTGCAGGAGTGACCCCTGGGCGAGCCTAGTTCTGGGGGAAGACCATCTGGGAGGGGCGCCTGCACACACCCTCCCGGGTCCGGTGGGAGGTGGTACCACTTAGTTCTGGCCCTTGCTGGTCATGTGAGTTTGTCCGCCTTTCTGGTCACCTGATCTGGATCCGCTCCCATTGGCTTGGGATGGTTTTACCCACTGGAAGCTGTCTTCGTTTATTTCCCCAGCAACCTCCAACTGACAACCGGGGTCAGCCTCTGGCCCGGCGCCACCTCTCGCCGGAGGCCCTGACCCATATCCCACCTTCTCCACTGCCAGGCTTGCCACACACACTGTAAAGCCCACAGGCCTCAGATGGAATGAGCACGGGCCCCTAGGTCAGTCCCATCTCAGCTTCCTTCTTTCTGAGCGTGGCACCTGCCTCCTCCAGGCCCCCAGCTCGGCATGCTGAAGTCATCTCTCTCTCCTTCCCCTCTTGCTCATTTGTTTAGGCCAGTGGTCGGCAAACTCATTAGTCAACAGAGCCCAATGTCAACAGTACAACGATTGAAAATTTCTTTTGAGAGCCAATTTTTTTAAACCTCTTCGAACGCCAGCCGCTTCAAAATAGACTCGCCGGGGCCGTGGTATTTTGTGCAAGAGCCACACTCAGGGGGCCAAAGAGCCGCATGTGGCGCTCAAGCCGCAGTTTGCCGACCACGGGTTTAGGGGATAACTACACGTTGCAAATGCCTCCTCCGCCGGCCACAGGACCCCAATCGAGAGTCCATGCCGCTCCCCTGCCCTGGCCAGCTTGGTGGAAGAGCCCTCTGAGCTACAGCTCCGGGACTTGGCTGCAGACACGGGCCCTGCAGCCTGGCCCACCCCTGACACTGACACTGATGCTGGGGCTCCTGCGCTGAGCCCCCTCCAGCCACAGGGACTGCAAGAGGCCCCCTGCAGCCAGACAAGTGTGAGAGCTCCTTCCTCTTTGTGCTGAGGCCTCAAAACACACTACAGGAGCTGGGCACCTGGCAGGGCAGGTTCTGCAGAGGTGTGAGTGTCCTGGGGGGGTCGCCACTGCAAACGCGTCCTGAGACAAGAGCAATAAGGAAATGGATATGTACCCACATTTTGATTATCCATTCAAGCTGTCCTTACTCAGTGAACTCAGAGTTTTCTTGGTCAACAAAGTGATTCACAAATAAGAGAGCATTTTGAAGGCCTTTGCTGAGGAAACATCGTTGGACTCGAACAGTTGCCATGCCTGTAGATTCAGCAAGCCCGCATGGGCAGGCAGGGGTGGCACCAGCCAAGGTGCTCCCACACTGGGCGCAAAGGGTACGGGGAGAGAGGGCTAGTGTCTGGACACGGAGATGAGTGGGTTTCCCAGAGGAGGCGACTGCCCTCCCGGGGCAGGGCTGCTACTCAAGGAGCTTCTAGAAGGCTCAGATGAGCTTGTTTTTTCAGTTCCTACATCAGATGGGGGCACCCTCTTCTGCACTCCCCACCAAGCAGCTCAGGGAAGGCAAGCCCTCTCTCCCCATAGCCCGTAAGGACCCCAGTTTCCCAAGACTCAAAGCTGCTTTTACCCCTGACCAAGGCATTCCCACCCAACTCCCACCTCACCCCCTACACCTGCACTGGGAGGTATAGATTTCTGCCAGTTCTGCTCCCAGCTGTGCCTGCCTGCTTTTCTGGCTCCTCATGAAGCACGCGTAACCTGGTCCGTGTCCGTGGTGGCTGCTGCCTCGTCCAGGGCGCCCCAGAAAAGACTGCTGGGGGGGAAGAGGGGACAGACGCAGAGGAGCCCTCTTCCTGCGCCTCCATCTGCTCCGTACAGGCTGGCTCCTCACCTTGCCATTCAACAGATACTTAACGTCGACTGCATGCTGGGGGTGGGGGTGCAGAGATGAGTACACACAGCGCCTGTCCTCGGGAAGCTCAGGGTGGGAGTGGGAAGAAGGGATCAGGCAAGCCCGCAGTTACAACCCAGGGTGATGAGCGCTGCCGTGGGGGACGGTCAGGGCGCCGCCGAGATTCCCAAAGGCCAGGAGACCCCTACGCGGAGCCGCATTGGCGGTGAGCCTGTCATGACTAGACAAAAGGCAGCCTCCAGAAGCAGGGCCTCGGCCAGTGGTTTGAGGGGAGCTGGGGGGACTTTCCCACAGTGGAGGGGGGCTGTGTTGGAGGCTTCAGGCAGGGGCCGGTGGGGAAACTGGCTCGCAGCAGGGTTTGCTTCTATGATAGGAAATGGATCTGGCTGCAGTGAGCCTGGAGGCAGGGCTCTGCCTCTTACCAGCTGTGTGCCCCTGGGCAAGCAATTTCCTGCTCAGAACCCCAGCTTCTTCATCTGTAAAATGCAGAGGGCAGTTGGGAGGAGCAAGATAAATATTTATAGAAAGCACATAACTGGCAGGGGGCAGGGAGGAGGCTGTGAGGCTGACCTGCCCCCTGACCTGGGCCTTCCAGGCTCCTTTCTTGTCCCAGAACGTTCCTGACCATTGTTCATCGGGGAAAGAGCACGCCAAGAAGCTAACAAAGCGCCAGGAAGCAGCCTGGCGGGACAGGGCTGGCAGGGAAGGAGCATGGGTACATTTTCAGGCCTCCCGGGGTACCCGCCAGGAGCGCCCCTGCAGGGAATGGCCAGGGGCCAGTTCCTTCCCCTGGCTGAGACCCTCAACCTCCAGAGTTGCTTCCTGGGTTTGGGCCTACTGCCCATGCCATTCCATAGAGGGAGGGAGAGGGAGAGACAGACAGAAACATCCATGATGAGAGAGAATCACTGATCCCTGATCCGCCTGCCTCCCCCACGCCTCCAACTAGGGATCGAGCCTGCAACCCGGGCATGTGCTCTTGACCAGGATGGGACCTGGACCCTTGAGTCCGCAGGTCAGGGCTTTACCCACTGAACCAAACCAGCTAGGGCTGCCCGTGCCATTCTTGACCTGGGGGTCATGCCAGCGCCTGAGACCGTGTGCCTGGAGAGGGGAACCGGTAAGCACCTGGGGCCCCATCCCGCGCCCTCTGTGTTCTTCCAGGCCCTGCGGAGCTAGCTGCCCGGCGCCCATCCATCCGCGCAGCCATGGAGGCCTTGGGCCCCGGGGGCGGACGCGTCTCCCCCGCCTCGTCCACGCGCAGCCTGGACCTGCGGCGGCTGTCGGTGCGCGCCGACTCGGCCTACAGCTCCTTCTCCGCGGCCTCGGGCGGCGCCGAGCCGCGCACGCCATCCCCGGAGGCCGAGCTGCTGCCCTACCTGGACTGGGACTACGTGCGGGTGGTGTGGGGCGGCCCGGCCCCGGCCCCGGCCCCGGCCCCCGCCCTCCGCGCCTCCCCGCAGCCCCGGCCCGCGGCCGCCGCGCGCAACGGGCCGCGCGCCCCGCAGGTCCCCGCGGGGCCGGGGCCGGGGCCGCTCAGCCCGCAGGCCACCCCGCTGCTGTTCGCGCTGGCGGCCGAGGCGGAGGCCGCGGTGCGGGCCGCTGAGCCGCCCAGCCCGCCGGCCTCGCGGGCCGCCTACCGCCAGCGGCTGCAGGGCGCGCAGCGGCGCGTGCTGCGGGAGACGTCCTTCCAGCGCAAGGAGCTCCGCATGAGCCTGCCGGCCCGCCTGCGCCCCGCCGCCCCCGCGCGGCCCCCCGCGGCGCACCCGCGCTCCGCCTCGCTGGGCCACGGGGAAGGGGAGGCGGCGCGCCCCGGGGCCCCCGCGCCTGGAACGGCCGGCCCGGGCCGCCTCGCCCACCCCAACCGGCAGCAACAGCAGTGGTGCCTCTGGGAGCCGGGGGAGCCGGACGGCCCGGGTCCGGGCGCTGGGATGGCCGGGGATTGCTCCAGCTTTGGCCTCGCCATGCCTGAGACCCCGGAATGGCAGCATCAGGCGGGGGCAGGGTTCGAAGGCCATCAGATCAGATGGCTGAGAGGCACGGAGGACCCCGAGCCCCTCTCCTGGAAGCTGGACGACGATGACCACACCTACAGGCCTGCTCCAAGGACTCAGAGCGCCGCGCCAGGGGAAGCCGCGGGCCCCTGGGGAGTCCAGGTCTGGGAGAGCAGGGCAGCCGGCTTGGGGTGGGCACATCTGGGCGGCTGAGAACTTGAGCCACATGACACCTCACCTGTTTGCCTTTCCAGGCTGTTCTTCAAGGAGCAGAGCCCAGAGCCTTGTTTCAGGCCACACATCCCAGGTGAGAGGCACGGCTCACGCTCGGCAGGAGGCAGCTTTCACGGCTCTTGCCCCAGAAAAGAGAAGGCCTCCCACCTACCCCCAGCCTGAGCCTTGGGGCTCTGTATTCTGCAAACCAACCCCCCCACTACCCCCCCCCCAACATTTTACTGTCTCTCTGGTGCAGCACCAGGAGCTCCTGTCCTGGTCCCTGTGGTCAGTGTGGGTCTCTGCCTCCAGGTTCCTGACTCAGAAGGCTGCTGCCGTGGTGTGTCCCTCAGAGGGCGCCCAGAGCCGGCCTGCTGACGGTGAGCTCCGAGTCCCGGAGGCCCACGTGGTGTGTGCCCGGCTCCCTTCCCTCCCCGACGATGAGGTCTTCCTGGAAGAAGCCCCGCTGGTCAGCGTGAGGGCGCCTCCAGACTCCCATGCCCTGCCCGGGCTCCCGGCCAGGTGAGCTCTCTCTGGCTCCCAAGCAGAGCGAGGCATCCCCTTTGCACACACAGCCTCACAACGCCGAGGGGCAGGGAGCCCGCCCTGGCTGAGCCTGGAAGCCTGGGCGATGGGGTGGTGGCAGGTGGCCCGGGGACACTACCACTGGTCTGCAGCCGTAACTCACTCTGACTCAGTGTTCCTTCCATTCCCAGTGTTCGTGCCTCTGACCCACACCATGGAGCCGGCTGGGGCCAAAGGCCTGGCGGGGCTCCAGCACCCCCAGAGCACCCCCTACATGGGCGCCTGGAGACTGCAGAGACAGGTGACTGCTGGTCCACAGGCTGCCGTTCCCCTGGGACTGCAAATGGTGACATCCCAACCGCCGACTCCGCTGGACTGCTGACGACGGATTTCCGGGCAGTGGGGGAGAGTGACTCCCTCACACCTCTCCCCGCCGATGCCCCGGGACCCCCAGGCAGGGATACCCCAGGGCCCCCCGATGACACGGCCTCGGCCTGGGGCACGGTCCAGCCTGGGTCCAAGCCAACGTGGCCGAGTCCACGCCTGGAGCAGCTGGTTCAGGAGCTTGCCAGACTGGATCCCTCTCTGAGCGACTCTCTCACATCCTATCCCAGCCCAGAGCCGCCACTGGACCTGCTGGACGGGCTGATTCCGTTAGCCGAGGTCCGGGCCGCCATGAGACCAGCCCGTGGCAGGGCCGGCGAGGAGGCTGCTGGCGTTTCTGAGCCGGGGTGAGTGAGGGGCACCAGGGACGCAGGGGAGTCTGAGCCCCTGCAGCCCGGGGCAGCACAACCCCAGGGCACCCCTTCATCCCCCGGTCCCATCTGTCTAGCTCCACCCGGGTCCTGCCAACTTCTCAGGAAGAAACGAGGCCTGAACACCTCACCCCTCACCCTGTGTCTGACCGGCCATGTGGCCAGGGTCCGCCTGAGCCAAGCAGCATCCACGCTAAGAAAGTGAGTGAGTGTGGTGGGGCTGCTGGAGGCCGGGTGGGACCTGAGTTTGGCCTGAGATGGCAGGAGCCGCTGGAGCCTTAAAGCAGCCCCGCCTTCCCTGCAGGCGGAGCTGGCGGACTTCCTCCAGAAGATGCTGCGGGGCCTTCAGGCGGAGCAGGAGCAGCTGCAGGGGACGGCCCAGACCTGGGCCAGGCGCGGGGCTGCGCTGGAGGCCGCGGTGGGCCAGGCCTGTGCCCCCCGCGAGCTGGAGCGGTTCAGCCGGTTCATGGCCGACCTGGAGCGGGTGCTTGGCCTCCTGCTGCTGCTGGGCAGTCGCCTGGCTCGCGTGCACCGGGCCCTGGCTCGCACAGGAGCACACGCAGACCCTGAGGAGCAGGTAAAGGGGTTCGACGGCAGGGGAGCAGGGCGGCGAGGCGCACCTGCCCCGCTCGCTCATGGCGCCCTCTCCCCGCGGCTCCAGGCCTGTCTGCTGCAGCGACTGGGGCTCCTGCAGCGGCAGCAGGAGGACGCCAGGGAGCTGAAGGAGCACGTGGCGCGGCGTGAGCGGGCCCTGCGGGAAGTGCTGGTGCGGGCACTGCCCGCCGGGGAGCTGCGGGCCTACTGTGCGCTCCTGGCCGGCAAGGCCGCCGTCCTGGCCCGGCAGCGCAGCTTGGACGAGCGGGTGCGGCTCCTTCAGGACCAGCTGGATGCTGTCAAGAGCAGCCTCGGCCATCAACCCCCGTCTCCCAGGCCGGCCTCTTCCCCAGGGACCCGGCCTCCGGATACACCGCCCTTCTCCCCTCTGCTCATTTAGTTACCCGCGGCAGAGGTGGGGGGCTTTGCCCCCGCCTTTCACGCGCCAGCCTGGGGGTGACGCTGGCTTACTGGGTGCTTTTTCCCCCTGGGGTGGGGATGACCCAGGCCAGGCCCTCCCGGGATACTTCATTGTCATGTGGCCTCACCTGTGTCTTGTGGATTGTTTGGTAATGAACATGGATTTTACAAACTGCCGTATTCCCCCTTTTTGTGATGAGTGATGGGCTCGGTGAGGAGACAAGGCAGATGCAAAGCAGCCGTTTCTTCTTCTCAATAAAAACTGATGAGAGACGTGTGATGCCACGTGAAGCGCGTTTGTGGGGAGGGTCTTGTTGACTGATCACACACAGCCGCTTACCTGGCTAGAGCTGACGAGGGGATCGTTGGAGGATGTCAGTGAGGTCTGAGAAGCAGGAAGACGAGAACAAGGTTTGAAAGCAAGAGGGACCGGTAGAATCCTCACTGTTCTGGTAACAGCGTCACTACCAAAGCCAAGGCCTGGTTGCCTGAGTCGAGGTCTCCTTTGCTGGTTTTACCCAAGCCCCCAACTTCAGGAGTGGAAGTGGGGTCCTGCCTCCCTTCAAGACCCAACGGATAAAGTCCCCGGTGTTTTCTTGTGGGTTAGAATGTTTTGCTGCCTCAAGAGCCCTGACACATGCCAGTTCAGTTAGAAATGGGGGGACATTCATCCTAAGAGCTTTCTTCCTCTTCCAATTATGTTTCCAGCGTTGACTTGATCTCACGCTCCTAAGGAGACTCCACTGGGTCCGCCAGGCTTGAGGAGGGCCGTTGGGGGAGGGAGCAGAAGGTGAGGCCTGGGGGACCTGAGACCCACCTGTGAGGGCTGAGGACCCGGGGGGGGGGGGAGGGCAGCTCACCTGTGTGCCAGAGACGCTGACGTGGGGGTGGGCTGGGGGTGGAGGGGCTGACACAGGACAGACGCGCTCCTCCATGTGTGCATCGGCCCAGGGTGCCCAGAAGCCGTGCTAAGTTCTCAATGACACCCGTGAAAACCCTCGTTCGCATTCGTAGCTGCAAACACCAGGGAGATTCAGAACACGGTCCATGCAAACGCGCGCGGTGTGTTTCTGGAAGTCGGGCGCATGAGAAAGCATGTGTATTTAAAGCCACGGACCCCAAAGTGAGAAACCGCTGCTCCCGGGCTTGTTTTCTGATGCCCATTGTCACCGAGTGCAACTGGGTGGGAGGTTTAAATGGCGGCATTCATAGCGAAAGCCTGAGTGGCAACAGTGGTGCTATTGAGCGCAGAACAAAGCTCCCATTGTGCCTCTTTATAAGAAACATATGGGGCTCCTGCAGAGGCAGCTGCGGCCCTAACAGGATGCTTTGAACACTGCGGAGCCGGGGTCCTCAGCCCCGCAGGGCAGCTGGCTTCTAGACACGTCCTGGATGGAACCTACTTATTTCTGTCTCCTGCCCTGTTCCAGGCCCCACTGCGTTAGCCCATTGTGACAGCCTTAGAAACTCGCGTAAAGGGTCCGTTAGGCCAGTGGAAATGGTGTTTCAGAGAAAGCACCCCCAGGCCGGAATGGCCGGAGCGGGCCTGGGGAGCAGCGTCGGCCAACGTCCGGTTAGATCGCACTTCGGTTCAGTGTTGCGGCTTCCCCTGGGGAAGTACAAGGCCTCTCTGTTTTCCCCTCCAGATCAGGGGAGCCGCCAAGGTAGGTGGGCACCAACTGCTCCTGTCCCCCCCCCCCCTTTTTAAAAATATATTTTATTGAGTTTTTACAGAGAGGAAGAGAGAGGGAATAGAAAGCTAGAAACATTGATGAGAGAGAATCATCGATCAGCTGCCTCTTGCACACCCCCTACTGGGGATGTGCCCGCAACCAAGATACATGCCCTTGACTGGAATCAAACCTGGGACCCTTCAACTCCGCAGGCCGACGCTCTATCCACTGAGCCAACCCGGTTTCGGCATCCAGTCCCCTCTTGTCCCTGTCTCCCTCCTGCCCCAGGCATTCTCCCACCCGCACCGTTCTTTCAGAGGGCAAGGATGAGCTCCCGTGCTAGCAGGTGTTCTGTGTTGGTACCATAAACCAAGACTTGAAGGACCAGGAGCAGGGTGAACGTCACCTCCAGGATGCTGCCAGCAGAGGGCACTGTTCTCCTGACGATGGAAGCTGCTACCCGCACTGGACCACCTGCAGCCTCCCAGCTCCCAGGCTCTCTGGGCTGGCCAAGGGGAGCAGTGTCCCTGCCGGGCCTGGGGGCTGGGGTTAGGCCTTTTGGCTTCTGTCGGAAAGCAATGCCGGCCAGGCAGCCCTTGGGAAGGCTGGCTTTCCTTAGTCATTGGTTAATGAGAAGTGAAGAGGAGGGAAGCCAGGGATGTTGATCTCGAGTATCAATACAAAAAAAATAGCCTTACTTAGTCCCCCAGAGTGGAACAGGGTGTCTTGGGTCTCTGTGGCCCAATGTCACCCCTTCCCCCCAGCCTCGCCCCCGCCTCCGCCCCCGCTGCCCGCGGGGTGCCTTCCGGCTCTGCCTGGCCGGCTGCGCCTGGGATGGTTGCTGAGCAACAGGCAGCCCAGCGCCGGCCTCCCCGGCTCGCCCCCGCCGCCCTCGCTGCTGCTCCCAATATGGATGCAATTAGTGTGCTTTTACCTCCAGACTGCAGCTTGGAAGCGGATAGGGAAGCAATGTTCTCCTGCCCCAAAGCGGCGCCAATCTGCCTTGCACAGCCGGCTCCGCGCGCCACGCACCTCCCGGAGCAGCTGGCGGAAAAACCTCCTCGGGGGTCCTCCCCTGTGAACCACAAGTTTAAGAGGGAATTTAGAGCGATTGTGGTTGAGAACCGCAGAGAGGGGAGGCCGATGGGGAGTGGGCGGTGGTGGGGGTGGGAGTGGGGTGGGAGGCAACTGTTACAAAGCAATCTTCTCTACGGCCCTGCGTGGCTATTATCACAACAGGTGCTTTCCTGGCGTCTTTGGAACGTCCACCTCCCTCCCTCCCTTCCTCTTTCTCCCTTCCCCTTCTTTCCTCTTCCCTGTAGTCACACCCGAGGCCACTTCTGCTTCAGGGTTCAAGTCCAGAGGTGTGGCCGCTGCGGAATGGTGAGGCCAGGGCAGAGGCTGAAGGCAAAAAGCTACCTGGAAAGGAACAGAGTTTGTGTATTTATGCAAACATTTTGAAAGGTCAAATAACTTGTTAAAGGAAAGGGCCCAAGCGAGGGGAGAATGCACATCCTGGTGTTTCTGGAAAGGGGACCTGGCCCTGACCGCTCTGCCTGGGACCCAGCAGGAGTGTGCTGGGGAGGGGGTGGGGGTGGGTGGGTCTTTAACAGCATGAGTCCAGGTGACTATGAGGGAACGTTTATTAAAGCTGGAGACATAGAGACAAGAAAGGGCTTAATATAAAAGCAACAGGAGAGCCTGGGCGGGCTGCTTTAGCTCCCTGCAAAATCAGAGAAAAGGGGGTCTGGGGGACAGGTTCCGGGGATTAGCCAGGGATGAGCTGCTGCTGGCCATTGCTCCCCTGGTTGCAAGCCTCAGGGGGTTCTTTAGAGTTTAGGCATTAGAGTATAGCCTGCCTGTGGGGGGGGAGAAGAGGGAAAAGGGAGGGGAGGCCTGCTCCTCAGGGGGAGCACAGGCTGGGTCCTTTGTGTTGAGGGTATTTATCTCACTCTGCTGGAGGGAATCTTAGGGGAGGCCTCAGGGGAGGGTCTCAACAGAATATTCATCAGCTTTTCAGGTGTGCTCTTCCAGGATCGCGATCTCCACTGCTTGGTCTGGGCCCTTGGTCTTGAGTCCATACAGCTGGTCCTGAGGCAGCCACAGAGTCACTGGTCTGGTTTTGCTGCTCTTTGGGGCCTGGAGCTGAAATACAACTGGTGCCTAGATGTTATCCTTAAGGAGGAGAAGGTCTGGGGGGTGGGGGGGTGTCTAAACCACATGACCAGCAATGTGCTAGTGGTGGAAATGTTACCCTGAGGGGAGGTTCTTGTTTTCCCAGTTTTGCCCTTTGCTGGGCACCAGGGCTTTCTGTCCACGTGACCTGTACCTGGCCCATCGTCCTTGCTTTGCTCATGTCTAACTGCCTGGAACACTAGGTGTGCCTAAGCTTTATGACTGTGTGTTGAGGGCTGAATGACAACTGTCTAGTTCTGGAAGGTGGGGGTAGGGATTCTAGAGGAATATGAATTAAGACATTGTTATGCCTCTCAATTAAATCAATATTACATAGTGAGTATGGATAAGTTCCCTTTTGTGGAATACATGTTTTCTCCCAAAGCCCATTGGTATTTATTTTTGTTAATTCTAACCGGAGGATTTTTTTTTTCTTATTGATTTTTAGAGAGTGGAAGGGAGAGAAAGAGTAGGGATAGGGGAGAGAGATAGGCATTGATGTGAGAAAAACATATCAATTGGTTGCCTCCTGCATATGCCCTGACCAGAGTTGGGGACAAACCTGCAACCCAGGTATATGCCCTTGACGGGGAATTGAACCCCGAGACCCTCCATTTTTCGGGCCGACACTCTAACCACTAAGCAAAGCTGGCCAGGGCTTGATTGTCCTTTATGTGCACAATCACTAACATGGTTAACAATGGTGATCATGTGAGGCACAGCCACCAATCAGAGCTGTTTGGGAGTGCAGCTGGATACCCCCGTGGGGCCAGCTTGGCCCCCCAGGTAATATTCCAGGCTGGTCTGTAGTTCCCAGAGAGCTCCACCTACTCATTTCCGATGCTTCTCCCGCGATAGCCTGCAGGGTAGGTACTGCCAGGCTTCTGTCCCACAGAAAAGGGACATGGAGCTTGGGAAACTGGGTGATTTGCCAAAACTGGTTTGGCTCAGTGGATAGAGCGTTGGTCTGCGGACTGAAGGTCCCAGGTTCCATTCCGTTCAAGGGCATATACATTGGTTGCAGGCATGTCCCCGGTAGGGGGTGTGCAGGAGGCAGCTGGTCGATGTTTCTCTCTCATCAATGTTTCTAGCTCTCTATTCCTCTCCCTTCCTCTCTGTAAAAAATCAATAAAAAGTATTTTTAAAAAAAGGAAATTGGATGACTTTCCTAAGGTCACTAGGGTAAAGAGCTGAGATTGAGGCCACCTTGCTTTTCTGCCACAGGATATTGTGATGGGAAAAGCACAGGATGCCATCCCATGATACTGACCTCGCTGTGGGGCCCGAACAGGCCACTTCCAGTTTCTCCTGGCCTCAGTTTCCTCACTCTGAAATCAGCACACCAACAGGGCAGACCTTTCAGGTTGTAGTTAGTATCTGCAAAGTGTTTAGAACTGTCCCTGGCACGTAATAAACACAGGTCTTACGTGTGTTACCCACACCCCGGTCTCCATTAGTGAAGTGAGACATGCTCCAAGACAACCTCCCACCTTCTAGAAGAGAAATAAAAAACTTCATTAAAAAGCTTGCTCTGGATGTGACTCTCATGCATCTACATCAACATTTCTCCCTACTAAGAGGAGTGACTCTCTTCCCTGTGGTCATTCTAACCAGCTAAATTGCCTCCATGTATTAACAATTATTTTTGTGTGTGTCAGTTGGAAATACCCTCCCACAAGTGTACCTCCTTGCTAGGCAATATATGGTTCGTGAAAACTTTCCACAGGCACAGCAAACCTTAATTTCCTAGTGATTTACCTTATAACGTCAGAAAGTGTTGGCCTGCAAGGAAAAAGCAGTGGCTTCTAACACCTGAATTTTAGGCTTGATGATCTTAAACTCTTGTCAAATGTTTTACCTCGTTTATTTTTATTTCTTTATTTTTAAATGTATTTTGATTGATTTCAGAGAGGAAGGGAGAAAGAGAGAAAAATAGAGACATCGGTGATGAGAGAGAATCATTGATTGGCTGCCTCCTGCATGCCCCCCTACTGGATATCAAGCCCGCAACCTGGGCATGTGCCCTTGACCAGAATCAAACCTGGGACCCTTCAGTTCGAAGACCAAAGCTCTATTCCCTGAGCCAAACCAGCTAGGGCTGTTTTACCTCATTTAGAAAGATTGCAGCACACTCTTTTGAAACATGAAGATTCTTCTGGCAGCTTGAGTAAACCTCCTCTAATTTAAATGTGCAATAAACATTAGTTATTATTATTACTACTCTACTGGCTTAGATTTTTATCTTTCTCAAGGTGGGTCATATTTGCGTTTGTGACCTATTTTCAAGTCAAGCCTCTCTTTTACAATGGGAAATCTCTGCTATTTTATTGCCTTCTAGACCTTCACTCAGATTGCTATAATTATTGCCTCCCACAATTTCCCTGCAGAGGCAGAAGATTTCATCTTCATTTAAAAATAATTTATGCAGCTTAGCTAGAGCTCTTGCAAGGAATGTGGGAAGGGCAGATCAGAGCTTACATGTATCTGCAGTGTTGGCTACCATGGCCATGAGGGGCTGACGCCTTTTATTTTGCAGAGCAATTCAAACTCTTTCAGTGATAAAGTGGCAGAAGAGGGATGAGGAGAAAAGGGAGATTAAGTAGATAAAAGGGAGAAGGAAAGAAAAATACAGTGGCAAGAGCTGTAAAAGGCTTAAGGGAAGTACATCATCTCACAAGCAGAAACAGAGTAAGAGGCTGTTTATTTCATTGCTTAAATCAAAACATTCCATGAAGGACTGCCTTACATAATTCCAGAGGCCTTGCTGAAATATGTATTTTTGGGAGGAGAGCCCCACTACCTTGTGCCACAAAAGCTATTTGATATAGCTAATGACATGCAAACACAATTTGCAAAAGCAGAGTATTACCACCATATGATTTTTAAAAAAAGGTTGAGCAAATAGATTCCACATCTTTAAAACAAAACAAAAAAGCCATTGTAATTACACTGTCATGAACCTGGGAAATGTTGGCCATACCTACAAACCTCTCAGTTATAGAAAGGAGCAAAGGTCCAGAGACGTCAGGTCATCCCTCTGAGGTCGCTGAGCAGAGACTTCACATTTGGTATTTTGGATTAAGTTGTTTGCTTTCAGAAATGGATGTCATGTACTTTCTAATTGTGTAGAACGGTAGTCGGCAAACCGTGGCTCTTGAGCCACATGCGGCTCTTTGGCCCTTTGAGTGTGGCTCTTCCACAAAATACCACGTGCGGGCGCGCACGTACAATGCGATTGAAACTTCGTGGCCCATGCCCAGAAGTTGGTTTTCGGCTCTCAAAAGAAATTTCAATTGTTGATATTTGGCTCTGTTGATTAATGAGTTTGCTGACCACTGGTCTAGAACTTTCATGTAAAATAGTTGGTCCTTAATTGTATTCATTACTGTTTTACCAGTTATTATTCTGGTATGCTTTTTTTTTTTTTTTTTTGAATGGCAGCCCAATGTTGAATAGTCACCTACTGCATTGAAAATCTCAGCCAGATTTTAAAAACCACAGAATGAGAAATATGGTACAACAGTGCAATTCACATAAATCACATTTAATTAAATATTCATGCCAAATCAAAATAGCCACCCACCAGTGCCAAAGACACGTGTTTATATTTCACCATAAAGATAACCGCAAATTAAATGTATTTGTCCAAATGTCTCTCTTCTCTTGTTAGTAAATCACCTTTACTCCCAAGACACACTAATGTTTAGCTTACCTAATGTTTAGCATTCACAGTACAAGTGAAGTTAATTACATTTAATGGTCATATTCTGTGTTCAAGACTCTCTGAACTCTTGATTGCCTAAAACGAGGTAGATAAACATTTAAGGATTTTGTTGGTTGGTAATCATTTCCTTTAGATCTTGATAATCATTTTAAATCATTTTAAATAGAATTCCAAAATCTTTACCAAAGATCAAAAATTTCTAAGCCTGTTGCCTAAAAATGGAAAAATATAATTTCAAAAGGTTATTATGAAAATTGCTTTACCTCATTTCAATTTAAAAAATTGGGATAAAAGCATCAAATTACAAAACCACCAGTATCTTACAGCTGACACACCACCCAACCTCACACAGCACTTAAAAGGGACCCTTGCAACCTGTCCTGGCTTGGGAGTGTATAGATGCAGAGGCACTGGGTTAACTCATGAAGGGACTAGACCAGCTGCTGGCCCCTTAACCTCTGATCCTAAATTTCAAATCTCCTCCAAAGTGTAAGCCTGAGTCCTGGCATTTCTCATGGGAAGCTCTTCCTGAGACCTTGAGTCCCATCTCTGAAGGCAGGTCAAGCTACAGACAGAAGCTGGAGGCATAAGCCCACCCGGGGAAAACACTGTAGCGGACAAGGTTGGAACCCGGATAGAGCCTTGGTCATGCGCAAGCTTAGACTGAGGGGCAGGCCGGATTGCATCCACGCAGCAGCGCCAGGACCGCCAATCAGGTTGTGGGGGGCAGGCTGGGCATGAGACCAGCGAAAGGTCCTCCTGGCATGGACCCCCGAGAGATTTCTGAGAAGGCCGGCGGCAGGCCGCTCCGGGCCTTTGTCTTTTTGCGAGGAGCCAAGGGCGAGGCTCCCAGGAACTTGCTGAAGGAGCCGGACTTCCGCAGGCCCCGCGCCAGGTCCTGGAGCATCAGGTCGTCGGCCAGGACGCCCAGGAACGCGCTGGTGGTGGAGCTGAGGATGGTGGCGGCCACTTGCACGGGGCGCCGGACCACGAGGGTGCCGTTCGCCCCGCCGCCGGCCCCGCCGGGCTTGGAGGCGCCCCGCAGGCCGGGGTCGCCCAGGAGCTGGCGCAGCGCGCACGAGGCGCCCGGCCGCAGGTAGTGGTGCGCGCGCCGCCCGCTGTGGTCGCGCACGGCCACCTGCGCGCCCAGCCCCACCAGCAGCGCCGCCACCTCCTCGCGGCCGTGCAGCGCGGCCAGGTGCAGGGGCGTGTAGCCGCCGCGGGAGCGCGCGTTCAGGTCCACGGGCGCGCCCCCGAGCCCCGACACCTGCACCAGCTGCAGCACCATCTCGCGGTCGCCGCTCTTGGCGGCCCAGTGCAGGGCCGTGTAGCCGGACATGAAGTCGGGCTTGGCGGCCAGGCCGCGGTCGCGCAGCAGCAGGCCGTGCAGCTGGTGGCTCCAGCGGCCGCCCGCCGCCCGCACCAGCCACTCGTGCTCGGCCGGCTCCAGGGGCACGGCCGGCGGCGGCGGCGCGGGGGGCGCCTCCTCCGTGTCCGGGCTCAGCAGGCGCGGGCCGGCGCGGGACAGGCGCCTCAGGTGCGGGGAGCGGCCGAGCCCCAGGGGGCCCGACTCCTCCACCGACAGCCGCCGCCGCAGCAGCGGGGAGCCCCGCGGGCCCGGCTCCTCCGACAGCTGGCGGCGCAGGCCCTGCTCCTCGGCGCGGACGCGGAACGCGGCGGGGACGCAGCGCACCGGCAGCATGCAGGGCTTCTGGGGGGGCGCGCGCCGCGGGGGCGGCGGCGGCGGCGGCGGCGGCCCTGGGGTGGCCCCGGGCCCAGGGTCCAAGCCCGGGGGCTCTGCGTGGGGCAAGGAGGCCTCCTCCTCCGACGGTGCCCGAGCCGGGGGGGCCACGTCTGCAGAGAGGCCCTCGGAGGGCTGGGCCGGCTCCACGGGGCCATCGGGCTGCTGGCTCGCGGGGCTTAACCGCAGCTCCCCGGTCGGCGGGGTGGGCTCGGAGACCGGAGGAGCCTCGGGGGTGTCCTGTGGCTCCGATGGCGGGGCCGGGTCCTCGGAGGCCGACGACGGAGCCCCCGAGGCAGCGGTCTCGGCCGGTGAGATGGGATCGGGGTCACCGATCGTGGGCTCGGGGTCGCCGATCGTGGGCTCGGGGGCGCCGATCGTGGGCTCAGGGGCGCTGATCGTGGGCTCGGGGGCGCCGATCGTGGGCTCGGGGGCGCTGGAGGCGGCGGGGTGCGGGGGCTCCGGCGCCCCGCGGGGCCGCAGCTTCCTCTTCAGCACCACGAACTTGACGCCGTCGAGCTCCTTGACCACCGCCACGTCGTTGACGAGCTGCTTGAAGCGCTCCCTGCGGGCGGCGCGGCCGCGCGGGTCGCCGGCGTCCAGCAGCGGCTTGAAGCGGCCCAGCAGCTCGGAGCTGCGCACCTGCCCGCCGCGCTCGTGCAGGAAGCCCAGCACCGCGGCCGGGCTCACCCCGGCGGCCGCGGCGGCGGCGGCGGCGGCGGCGGCCAGCGCCATGGCCGGGCCCCGCGCGGCGGGGAAGCGCGGCGGCCTCGGGTCCCGCGGCCTCGGCCCCCCCCCCCCCCCCCGCGGCAGGTGCGCGTCGCGGCGCGCGCTGGGACGCGCTGGAGCCGGGGTTCCGGGAGCCGCGTCCGCCTCGCCGGGCTCACCGGATCGGGTCCTCCGGGGCTGAACGGACGTGTCCCGGAGCCGGGCCGCGGTCACGGTCACACCCACGCCGCAGAGCCCGGGGCCTCCGAGGGAAAGGCGCTCGGGGTCGCCGCGCGCGCCCGCGCCCGCGCCTGCCGCCGCCGCGCCCCGGGTCTCCGGGGTAGGTGTCCGCCTTTCTGTTCTGTCCAATGGGTGCCGGGCTCCATCCCCCGGTTCGGTGCTCGCTGTACAGGTGACAGCTGCCACCGGGGAGCGGAACTGCTCCCCCGCCCCCAGCTCCAGGCGCACACCCAGAAATTAAAGGCGCAGCGCCCGGCTGCCGCAGCTCGGCTCCGGTTGCTAGGTGGGCATGTTTCCCAGGAATGAATGCCGCAGTCCACCCACAAGGAGCTTAGGATGTTATTCCTTTAAGAAATATTTACCACAAAAATACCGGGCGATGATTTAAAAGCAACCATTTCTTTTAAAGACTATCCGTGCCCCTCTCCTGTAGTCGAATGCCATTCAGACTGGCTTCATGCCATTTGCAGCAAAGACAGTTCGCTGCGCGTGGCAATGTATGTGACACGAAGTTTAGAAGAGGTGTTTAAAAAAAGGAATTTTCTGATGAAGAAATAATACATCTTCACATCGAATTTGGGGAATAAAACCACAGGAAAACATAACGAGTAAAAAAAAAATAATCCCTTGAAATCACCAGTGACATTTTGAAATATTTTTATTCTCCCCCATATACATGTGTATACATGTTTACACTTTAAGAATGTGACGCTGAAAATATGCTATGTTTTAAAACCTTCATTTAATCTACAAATATTTGTTGAGCACCTTGTATGTGCCAGCATCTTTTCGGGTGGTGATATGTCAGTTAGCAAGACAGATAAGCCCTAACTGGTTTGGCTCAGTGGATAGAGCGTCAGCCTGCGGACCAAAGGGTCCCAGGTTTGATTCCCGCTAAGGGCACATGCCTAGGTTATGGGCTCAAACCCCAGTAGGGGGTGTGCAGGAGGCAGGTGATCAATGATTCTCTCTCATCTTTGATGTTTCTCTCCTCTCCTTTCATTTCCACTCTGAAATCAATAAAGAAATATTTTTTTTATTATTCTTTTAAAAAGACAGATAGCCGAAACCGGTTTGGCTCAGTGGTGGAGCATCGGTCTGCGGACTGAAAGGTCCCGGGTTTGATTCCGGTCAGGGGCATGTGCCTTGGTTGCGGGCACATCCCCAATAGGGGGTGTGCAAGAGGCAACTGGTTGATGTTTCTCTCTCATTGACGTTTCTGGCTCTCTATCTCTCTCCCTTCCTCTCTGTAAAAAATCAATAAAATATATAAAAATAAATAAAAAAAATAAAAATAAAAAGACAGATAAAAACCCCTGAGCTCACGGGTGGTGGGGTGAGAACAGAAGTAATGTGATGAATCTGAGAATTGGAGAGTATGCGAGATAAATACTATGGAAACAAGAGAGTAAAACAGGAGGGGCAGGTGGCCAGTAAGCAGGGACTTGAAGTGATCAGGAAGTTCACCAGGTGGAAGAAGAAGGAACCACCAGGGCAAAGTGGGGTCAATTTCTTAATTTACAAATAGAGTACTACAATATAAACCCAGAGGCACCATACCTCGTACTGTAATTAGAGAGAGCAAGACTCTGCAGCCAAAATTCCACACTGAATCCTAGCTCTACCTTAGGCTACTTTCTCTAAGTACCTCAGTTTTCTTATCTGTAAATGGGAGGTGACAATACTAGTATAGTGCTTACCTCATCAGGCTGTTGTGAAGATTAAGTGAGAAAATAAACATGCTTGGCTCTCAGTAGACATTCAGATTATTGTCAGCAGTGTAGCCACTACTATTATTGCTACTTGCTGAAAAGAAAAAGAGAACAGTAACATGAGAAAGATCCCCCTTTCCCTCCTCCCCAAAGGCCGTTTCAGTCTCTAGAATGCATATGATTTCCAGGATGCATGATTAATTGTTTTCCCCTCACTTTATATTTTATTGCAAGTATTTTCCCAATGACAATATTCTTTACAAATGATTTAAAAATATATATATTTTTATTGATTTCAGAGAGGAAGGGAGAGAGAGAGAAAGAAACATCAATAATGAGGGAGAAGCATTGATCAGCCGCCTCCTGCACGCCCCACACTGGAAATAAAGCCCACCACCCAGGCATGTGCCCCAACGGGGAATGGAACTGTGACCTTCTGGTGCGTAGGTTGACCACTGAGCCACGCAGACGGGGCCACTGTTGTTTTTAACAAATTTTAGCGAATAGGCCACAGGTTGGAAAAAACACTGTAGCAATTTTACCACCATAAATGAATATTACATGTCTACAACTAAAGTCTTTATATTTAAATCCAAAAGTCACTGCCGGTCGACCGTGTTCAGAGAATGATTAGCATGTGATCACACTGCGTCACAGTAGGCATTGTCCCCTGGACTGACTTCCTGGCGTGTTCACGCCTGCAGGCCATGCTCAAGGTGACATTCACTTCCTGGAACTATTCAGCATATATTTAAACCTGCGGTAATACATGTCCAAGCTTTCTGTGGAATTAGACTTTTTATATACTTACTTAATTTTAATTACACAAATGGTCTACATAGGTAAAAACAGGTGGGCTAATTTGTCAAATGTTTTTTTAAAAAAAACTATTATATATATTTTATTGATTTCAGAGAGGAAGGGAAAAGGAAAGATAGAAACATCAATGATGAGAGAGAATCATTGATCGGCTGCCTTCTGCTCGCCCTACTAGGGATTGAGCCTGAAACATGGGCATGTGCCCTTGACCGGAATGGAACCTGGGACCCTTCATTCCATAGGCCAACACTCTCCCTTCCTCCCTGAAATCAATACAAATACATATATTTAAAATAATAACAACAAAAAAACAAAGCAAAGCTACCCTGGCTGATTTGTGGAGCCCGGTTTGTGGAGCACGGTCCTATACACCGAAGTTTGAGGGTTCCGGTCCCGGTCAGGACACACATCTCTATTGTGGGTTCAGCCCCTGTAACAGGAAGCAAGCAATTGATCTCACTCTCCTCTCTCTCTTTCAAAAAAAATAAAAATAAAAAATCAACCAATATAACAAAGCTAAGACAAAACAAAAATACCAGGCCTATCAACTCTAGGAAGTTTATGTACAAAAAAGTACAAGACTTTGAACATTCCTTAACAAACATTAACACCTAAGAAATGGCGTTGAGTAAGACACTTTCTTGATTTACCAGCAACAGTCTACTAATTTCCCAAGGTTTCACAAAAGGAAAACTATACCATGGACAGTGTGGCTGCTGGCAGGAAATCTGTACTCATCAGAGAAGGTTGGTTTGTCTCCATGATCAATCCAGGTTCCCCCAGGGCTGTGTTGCTGGCCCACTCCAGACATGCAGACAGCCTGTGGCTTGTTCAAAACTGCAGTGGCTTTCCCTCTGATTCCCCACTATGGAAGAAGGGAGTGGATAACCCCATCAGTAGATAATCCTGTCTCATTTCCATCCTCTTCCTAAATCTTTTTACAGAAACGCAAAAGGATGGAGTTATTGACACTGTTGAACATTGTTACTGGTTTCAAAAAGTAATGCACTTGTGGATGGGGTGGTGTTTGCAGTTTCTATCAACACCTGAATGATTTTATCAGCCACTATGGCTACATTCCATAAGAGCAGCCGGTCGCTCAGTGGCTGAGGGTCGACCTATGATCCAGGAGGTCACAGTTCAATTTCCAGTCAGGGCACATGTCCAGGTTTCAGTCTCTATGCCCAGTGAGGGACGTGGGGATTGAGCAGAAGGCAGGGGCCAATCAATGATTCTCTCTCATCCCTGATGTTTCTATTTCTCCCTCTCCTTTCTTCTCTGAAATCAATAAAAGTATATTCAAAAAAATGAATAAAATAATTTTTATGTTTTTTGTTTAAAAAAAAAAAAGAAGAGGAATGGAAGTTTCTATGCACAAACATTTCCATGCAAAATGAAATGCAGGCCCATGCTCTATCCACTGAGCCAAACTAGCTGGGGTGAAAGCCACTCTTAATATTTGTGGTTTACTCTGGGAGGTTTCCTGTATACATCCAGGGATATAAGCACAGCCATGTATACAGTCTGCACAGATGGAATGGGACCACGCGTTGTTGCATAACATGTGCTTCTTTACTGCCTGCTGTAACCAGTGCTGGTGTGGGTGGAAGAGGGGCCCTGCAGGAGCTGATGGCAGGCTCCCTGGGAGAGCTGGGGAGGGTCGTCACGCTAGGGCAGTGGGGGCAGAAGGACAGTCCAGATGCCAAAGACAGTTCAGAAACAGAACTTGTATTATATTGCCTGTTTTCATTTTTACAGTCACATTTCCTTCATTGCATTTTCATTTCAATAGTCACTTTTTATATTTCCTTTTCTTAGCCTTTTCAGGACAAATTGCTGGTTCCCTTGGAAAAACAGTTTCCATGACCTCATTGGTAGTGGAGCCTCCATCCACCTGGAATTTTGTTACTGCCTCCTCTCTCCACCGGGAGGAGGGAGGAGTCCCCCGTTAAGATGGTTATTGATTTGTGTGAGCTCGTTTTGAACTCATTTTGACTGTGATCACTAAGAATAGACAAGGGGTTAGGTACTGATTGAAAAGGAATTGCTGGTACAAGCAAGTTCATGGACGGTGCTTCACAGGCTTCAGGCTCTGAGCTCTACAAAGGATCATGCCAAGGTCACAGTTAATTGGCTGAACCCAAACTTGACCCCAGGCTGATTCCAAAGCTTGCGCTCATTGACTGTGTAAAATTAGGTCACCGATCACTTAGAATCAATGTTCTGAATGTTAGCAAATATAGGGGGAAATTCCTC